TCCACCTAGGGGCCAAGTTCTCACCGTGCATGAGGCAGGACCAGCAGGTGCACAGTTTCATCAGTGCCAAGCGGGAGAAGGAGAAGCACTCGGCGTGCTGCGTGCGGAACGACAAGTCGGGCTGCGTGCAGACCTCGGAGGAGGAATGCTCGGTGGGTGTTGTGGCCCCTTCCTGCTGTCTCTGCAGGCTCAAAGCCACTTCTGTTGATGCTTCTCTCACTCTGGAATTCATGGTGACACCTCTCCTCTCTCCTGCAGTCCACGCTGGCTGTGTGGGTGAAGTGGCCCCATCACCCCAGCACACCAATGCTGGCAGGAAGCAAGAGGCAGTTTGGGTCTGTTTGTCATCAGGACCCCAGGTAGGTCCTGCCTAGCCCAGCTGCCGTCCTTGGCAGGGGCAGGGCTGCTGTGACAGTACAGTTAGAGAGGCATGAGCCCCAGGCCAGCTGATTGCTGGATGGGGCAGGAGGTGCTCTGGAGACCAAGGGATGTGGGAACAGTGGTGTCCCTACCTGCCCTGATGGCTGCAGGGGAGGCTGAGGCAGATCGTGATCCTGTTTCTGCCTGCCACTGGTCTCAGTTGTCAGCTGTTCACCTGCACAGTATCTAGTTGTGAGCTGTGGGTGCCTTCCTCACCCTTCTCCCTCTCCTTACCTCCTCCCCACACAGGAACAGTATGGTGGGTCCCTGGGGATCCTGCCTGCTGCTGTTCCTCAGGCTGATCTGTGCTGTCTGTCCTGCAGGGTGTGTGAGCAGCCAGCCTCCATGGAGCCGCACGAGTGGCCAGATGACATCACCAAATGGCCGGTGAGCATCCAGGGGCCTGTGCTGGCAGCTGGAGTGGGGCATTTGCATCCTGCTGTGCAGAGACTCAGCTGTGTTGGTGAAAGGGAAGGGTCTCTGGTGCAGCCTCCTGTGTGTTCACAAGCACCAGATCAGGGCAGCCACAGCTTTGTCTAGCTGAGGCTCAAAGCCCTCCAACAACAGATGTTCTCCTGTGCCAACTAAAGCCCTGGGCCCTGCCAGGGTAATGGGGTGATGGAAACCAACTCAGCCTCGGGGCTATTTTCATCCCCTGAGGAGAGGAGGTGTTGATTGAGGCTCCAGTGGTTCAGGCAGATGGGGTGTCAGGCACCATCCTGCTGGCAGAGGGAGGTCTTGGGAGGCCTGTGTCTGTGGGATTGGCTTCTTCCCAAGAGACTTTTTTGACCTTACCAAGGCAGCAAGCAAAGCCATGGCTGTCTGACTACAGCCTGTTGGGTTTTTTCCAGATCTGCACAAAAAACAGTGCTGGGAATTACACCAACCACCTTCACATGGACTGTGTGATTACAGGTCGGCCCTGCTGCATTGGGACCAAAGGAAGGTAATGAGTTTTACCTGGATGTGCAGGGGCTGGTTTGTAGGGTGAGACACAGGGGGCCCTTTTCCCAGGTTGTAGACATAGCTGTTTGTTCTCCTTGTCCTTCCCACATGCAGCCCAGAATGCTGCTGGAAAGGGGAGCTGGACAAGGAGCCAGGAGAGGTCCCAAGTAGAGCAGGACTCTGGGATGAGCTGTTCTTCCTCACATTATTCCTCATCTTGAGTAGTTGCCCAGTGCTTGGGCCTGGCTTTCCCTGGTAGGGAGAAAAATCAGTGCTGCCTTGAGAACTTTGTCCCTGAAAGTAATGACCAGGATGCTCTTGGCCTGGCTCCCCCTTTCCACTCTGTCAGTGAGGGAGGCACAGCTTCCCCAGGCTCTGGTGGTTCTTTCCTGGCTGTAATTACCTCAGCTGTAGCACTTATTTTGGAGCCCCTGTATGCAAGGGTGTTTGTCTGTGGAGGTGACTCAGGCTTGAGTGTGGGAGAGAAGCAGGAGGAGTGTAGGGAGAGTGGCACAGGGCTGAGTGAGTTAGTGCATCTGCTGCAGAGACACTACAGCACATCAGGGGCAGCTGAAGGTATCAGTTCTCATAGGCACACTTGGGATGAGACAAGGGGGAGTGGGTGGCTTGGGAGGGCACAGAATGGTTTGTTGAGCCTTCCATGTGAGACTTGTTTCTTATTTTGTTTACTTGTTCCTCCTCCAGGTGTGAAATAACCTCCCGGGAATATTGTGAATTTATGCGGGGTTATTTCCATGAGGAGGCAACACTCTGCTCTCAAGTAAGTGCAGAGTTGGGGTGTGTGTGGCTTCCCTTCCTGTTCCCTTGTTCCCCTTACCAGTTTGGCAAAATCTGGGGGTGACTGTGCTGCAGCATAGGTGGGCATCCTGTGCCCTGTCTCAGCCTGTGCCCAAGTGAAGCTGCTGATCCAGGCTGTAGGCAGAGCTGGCTGCACCTGTCCCTCTTTGGAGATCAGTTTAGAACCTGGGCTGGCAGCTGGAAAAGCCCAGGCCCGGCCCACTGTGGGAGCAGCAGGAGGCTGCACCCTGCTCCCTGGTGAGCAAGTGCCAGTGGCTCAGGGGTGTGGGTGAAGGAGGAGGGTGTAAAGCTGCCATAGGTAAGGGGTGGGGTTACTTGTGACTTGGTGTTGGTTGGATACACAGGTTGGGGCTTGGTAAGTGGAGAAGAGCAAGGAAAGCCTGAGCTAACTGCAGTCTCTGCTCTGGCCTTAGCAGGCAGCCAGGCAGCACACCTTACACCCCCAACTCTTCTGCCCTAGGTGCACTGCATGGATGATGTCTGTGGACTCCTCCCTTTCCTAAATCCAGAAGTCCCCGACCAGTTCTACCGCCTCTGGCTCTCGCTTTTCCTCCATGCTGGGTAAGCATAAGTGTAAAACTTCCACTATCTGCTCTGGGATTGCTGTGAGGCTTGTTCTGGCAGTCCCTTCCCTGAGGGACACGGGGGGCTGAGCTGCTGTCCCTGCTGAGATTCACCATGATGTGTTCTGAGAGGGATCAGAGCTGTGGGCGAGGCCAGACCAGGAGCTCTCGGCAAGACTTGGGAAAGAGCACAAGCACAGGGGTGACTTCAGTGGCTGCTGCTTCAGTTCCTGTACTCTGAACTTGGCAGGATCCTGCACTGTCTGGTTTCAGTCTGTTTCCAAATGACGATCCTGCGGGACCTAGAGAAGCTGGCAGGATGGCATCGCATCTCTATCATCTACCTGCTCAGTGGCATCACTGGGAACCTTGCCAGTGCAATATTTCTACCCTACAGAGCAGAGGTGGGTCTCCTGCAGAATAGGGTCCTGGTAACAAGCCTTCTCTTCATGCCTGTGCCTCTGGCAGAGACATAGACACCAGAAATGGGCTCATCTCTGCAGCATGTGCCTTGTGCAGATTTGTAGCTATAAGACAGCACCACACCATCCCCCAGAGCACCCTGGGCTTTTCAAGTGCCTGACCCAGTCTGGCTGCAGTAATCAATGAAGGGATTTATCCAGCCACAGGATGAGAGACCCTGGCAGACTGGGAATTGAGATCTGAAATTGGTGCCAGAGACCCTCCATATGTGAGTGGCAGGCAGCAGAGTGGCAAAGAACAGAGCTCACCTATCCCACAAACTCTCTAGAACTGTCCCTGTCCATGTGCCACAGCTGGAGAAGTCTGATGTGACTATCTAGTTTCACTTTAGAAGACTGTGTGGCAGGACCCTGGGGACTATCTTCCAGGTCCTTCAGTAAGGAAAACTGCATGGTGGGTGGAGGGAGCCCTGAGATTGCCTTCAAGGGCTTCTCCCCTCTGGTGACTTAAACCACATCTGCTTTCCTTAAAGTCTGTTCTGATGATTACTGTCCTCACACCTGCCTTGATCCTAAATCAAACAAGGCCCCTTTTACTCCCTGAACACCATGATAAGGATGAAGTTGCAGGCTGTGGCATCTCTTTCCCAAGCCATGAACAAGGAATTGAATAACAAATAACTTCAGTGCCTGGAGCTGGCTGCAGAAGCCAGGCAGATGGCACGTGCCCAATGTTACCTGTCGTGCTCTTCTTCTGCAGGTTGGCCCTGCAGGCTCCCAGTTTGGGATTCTGGCCTGTCTCTTCGTGGAGCTCTTCCAGAGTTGGCAAATCCTGGCACGCCCATGGAGGGCTTTCTTCAAGCTGCTGGCTGTGGTGCTCTTTCTTTTTGCCTTTGGCCTCCTGCCTTGGATTGATAATTTTGCTCACATTTCAGGATTTATCAGTGGTTTCTTCCTCTCCTTTGCCTTCCTGCCCTACATTAGCTTTGGGAAGTTTGATTTATATAGGAAACGATGCCAAATTATAGTTTTCCAGCTCATCTTCATTGCACTCTTCTCAGGACTTGTGATTCTGTTCTATTTCTACCCCATCAAGTGCGAGTGGTGCGAGTTCCTCACTTGTATCCCATTCACGGACAAGTTCTGTGAGAAATACGACCTAGATGCACAGCTCCACTGAAAGGCAAAGACTGGCTTCTCGAGCAGGCACTGGAGATGGACTGTCTTTGCATTTGTGCCAGTCCCATGGGGACAAAGCCTCTAATCCAATGACACTTCTAACCCTGCCCATGGTTAATTTAAACTATTTCCTTAGCACTTGGCAGGCATGTTTTTGCCTTATCTCAGAAGACTCTGAAAACAGAACGTTTGTGCCTTGTTCAATTGTATTGAACCTTTTCTGCTGCCATTATTTTTATTATGCTAGTTTCAATACTACATTTTTAACCAAGAGTTGTTTTACTACTGCTAAGGTGGTGATTAAATGGTAAGGTAGCGTTTTAGCTACTGTTAATTGTTCTGCACAGCCTGTGGCTATGTTTGTTCCTTCATCTCACCTGTGCCATTTCAGGTATCAGTAGAACCCATCTTTTTCTACTGCCCAAGTCAAAGTCAGATTTGCAGCTGGAAATAAGGGCCTTAAAAGCCTCAGAAAACTAAAGGGTCTCTTTAATTGCTGGAAGTACATTCCACGTACAGCTCAGAGGCAAATATTTCAAATAGCACCTGCAAAAAACATATAATGTCCATTTAACTGGAGTTGGTTCCTCTTTTGAAATGTTACAACCTTTTCCTCTAGGAAACTTGAATCCACAGTCTGGTCTTGGTAGGGATGGATTCTCTGCTCGCTCTGTTAAAGAAAGACAAGACGTACAGCTCAGAGGCAAATATTTCAAATAGCACCTGCAAAAAACATATGATAATGTCCATTTAACTGGAGTTGGTTCCTCTTTTGAAATGTTACAACCTTTTCCTCTAGGAAACTGTTGAATCCACAGTCTGGTCTTGGTAGGGCTGGATTCTCTGCTCGCTCTGTTAAAGAAAGACAAGATTTGGCAGTGACAGCAGTTACTGCATGCTGGGCTCTCTTATCACCACACAACCTTGCCTGGGCAGTCTGGGGATGATCAGCCAGTGCCAGAGGTGACTGCTGGTCACAGGCACTGTGGGGCAGACAGCTTCTGTGGTGGCACACATTTTATTACACTGGGTGCTGCAAATGTGGCAACAATGAAAGAAGGAAAAAAAAAAAGCTACTGTGGTCACAAAGCACCAGTTTCTAACCCAACTAGCTGGAGCTGCAAAACAAAAACCCAAGCATTTGAAAAAGCTGCTGTTACCACTGCTCTTCAGACACTGGGATTTTTAGATGTGGAGGGGAAGCATACAATTTTAAACTTACTAAGCTCAAGAGTCTTGGCCACATCTTGTGTTTGTGCGCACAACTTTCTAAAAATAGCAATACAATACCAGAATTTGGTCTGTGTAGGTTAAAAACAGGTAAACGTGCTACTGGTGCTTCCTGTCCTGTAAGTGTTCTTAAATGCATCAGTTGCACAGACACACCCTGACCAAAAGTTGTCTAGGGGTGTGTCCTGTCTGAGAAGAATGAATTGGTTGAATTCAAGTTCCTATAAACCAGAAAAGGGAGAGAGTGAGAGTAAAAAAAGCCTACAGGATACATAAGCCAAGGTCACTTTTCCTAACTCCTTATAGCTTGCAGCAGTTGAGGAAAAATGGCTCAAAATACATCCACTGTGGAACAGCAAAGTACATGCTGTGTTTGCTTGTTGCATTTCCTTATGCACACCTGTGGGACATCTCTGTTAGCTGCAGGTGCTCGGAATGGTGCAGGAGCACTAAGAGCAGGGTAAGAGAACAGGCACTCAGGTATGAGAGTCAGACACACAGAGAGACCAAAGGACCTGGGTGATGGATTATCTTGGTCCTCCTGGGGGGTTCAGCACCCAGACCCATTCCTGACAGTGAGTGCCAGACATTTAAGAAGCCTCAAAGAAAGCAAGGTCCTAAAATTGTAGAATGGTTAAGGTTGGAATGGACCTTAAAGATAATCAGGTTCCAACCTCCCTGCCGTGAGCAGGGACACAACAGCAAACAAAGGGACATGGCATGTAATGTGGGAGCAGATTCACAGTCTAAACATAAAGGAGAGTTAGAGATACACCACTGCCAGCACCAAGACATGGCTGCTGCTCCTAACCTACGTCAACTGAAGCAGCTGAATTACCATTCCCTGTCTCCAGAGAACACAACACAACCAAGAGCTGGAAGCAGACCAGAGCCAGGGCACAAGCATTATGCAGATGTGGGCATTCAGAAATGCTCTGCCACACAGAGGACAGCAGCAACAGCAGCTGCCATGAGCTTGAACACTAAGGCCTGGGGAAGAGGAAGATGAACTGGTAGCTCTCCACGGATATTCAGGACTTACCTGACAGGTTACTTTCGAAGCTTCTTGATGAAGGTGACCTCATCCCGGTTTCTGATGCCATAGCTGGACAGAGAGTTATGTTGTTATATGTCAGCTTCTCAGGAACCACAGTCTTTGAAATCCTACAGCCTCCTCTTTCCCAGGGCGAGATGGACTCCTGAGATCACCTGCTGTGCTCTTAAAACTCTCACTTGTGTACACAGATCATGCTGCCAGCACTGGAAGATCTGATCGTCTGCCCTTTTAACTGCAACACCCCTGTAACCACAATGTCTATCACCTGTGGCTCAGTCTTTTGAGGACAGCTTTGATTAGGGCTTCAGACAAACTTTTCTTGCTTGTCTGCACATGGGCTGGCATACCTAGCACTGCTGTATGCAACAGCTAGAGTGATCAGAAGCACCTCCTTGCTCTGAGAAGGGGCATGGAAATACAGGAGTGGTTCATCACTGTTGTTACTAGAAGGTCTCTGATAGGTGGCTGAGCAGGTACAGAGCCCAACACCCTTATTCTTTGCTCTTTTCTTGCTATTCCTCCATCCTCCTTCCTGCCTATCCACCTCTGCCAGGTCCTCTGTGATGGTCACTGAGCACTGCAGCAGTTTGTCCAGTCCACATTCTTGAAGATGCTCAAAGCCCACCTCGATGCTGCCCTGAGCAAGCAGCTCTAGCTGACCCTGCCTGTGGCAGAAGGTTGGACTAGATAACTTCCAGAGGTCCCTTCTACCCTCCATCCCATCTACCCTATGAAGTGTCCTGACCCCATCCAGCAGGGCAGAAGATCCAGAAGAGATCTGATTACTCACTCTCTCAGCTTCTTCCTGTCATCTGCCAGCTTCTCTCCGTTATAGGTTAGGTGGTATGTCCTCCATATGTACTTCCTAGGGGAAAAACACGTGTGGGGG